CTCCTCTGCGAGTGGTGCCTCTTGTGCCTCCGCTCTGCTGCCACGGCGTCTTTACGTGATGCCCCCCTTTCTATGCCCTTTGTTTTCAAGTTTGGATAGGCCAAAGCAAAGAAGCCACGAAGGCTCCTCCGCCATGAGCAAAATCTACATTGCAGGCCCCGCGGTGTTTAACGCGGACATGGGGGCCGCGTACTACGAGCATGTGCGCAGGTTGCTGAGGGTGCACGGCGCCACACCACTGATTCCCGTGGACAACGAGGCCACGGGGGCCGCCGAGATACGGGCAAAGAACATGGAGATGATAAGGCAGTGTGACGCCGTCATTGCGGACCTCTCGCCCTTTCGCTCGCATGAGCCGGACTGCGGGACCGCGTTTGAGGTGGGCTACGCTGCTGCCCTGGGAAAGACGGTGCTGGTCTTCACTTCCGATCGACGTTCAATGAGGGAGAAGTACGGCGGTGCGTGTGACGCGGCCGGGATGACAGTGGAGGATTTTGGCCTCCCCTTCAATTTGATGCTCTGTGACGGGGCGGAGGTGTTTGGGTCCTTCGACGACGCCTTTTTCCACTTCGTAAGGCAGTGCTCAAAATAGCGTGGACGTGTTCGGGGAGAGGTGCGGGACTTTGTGAGCAACGCATTGGGTTATAGGGGAATTTTTTGGGTGGCCTGCCAGGGCACTCCCGCTGCCATGGCCGTCAGCATGCGGCCGTTCGCTCACTTTGTTCACCGCTGCCAACGGTGTTGGTTTTTCTTTTCATTTTCATCTTTTTTTTCTCACTTCTCTTTGCTTACCCACACATACACACACACGGAATGAAGAAGGTAACGCCTTGATAACTACTTTGCGCTCTGAGGGCTCTGCAGTCACCACCAGCAATACACACACACACATACACCGCATACAACCGTCGCAGCTTGAGCGTATCTGCCCCAAGGAGGGAAGGAAGGGAGAGTGAGTGAGTGAACATGTGCCGGCATGTGCGTTTTTATTCCTCACTGTTGCTGCTCCTCTGCATGATGTTGATTTGCTTCAGCAGCAGTGGTGTTGCGGCCGGTGACCAAGAGGATGTTTCGGGCCCATTTGACGGGATGACACCGATAGCTGGTGCTAAATGGGAATAAATTGAAGGAAGTTGGCGCATCCGTCACTTCGCTGCGT